TCCTTTGTGTAAATACCCAAGAGTGGGATTGGTGGATCAAATGGTAGGTCTACTTTCAATTCTTTGAGGTATCTCCATATTATTTTCCATAGAGGTTGTACTAGTTTGCAGTCCCACGGACAGTGTATAAGTGCTCCTTTCTCTCCACATCCACACCAGCATCTGTTATTTTGGGACTTTTTGATAAGAGACATCCTCAATGGAGTTAGGCAATAGCTCATGGGAGTTTTGATTTGCATTTCCCTGATGATTAGAGACTTTGAGCATTTTTTCATATATTTACTGGCCATTAGTCTATCTTCTTTGGAAAAGCTTCTGTTCATGTCTTTTGCCTACACTTTTGTGGGTTTGTTTGAGTTTTTCTTTGCTGATTTGACTTCTTTGTAGATTCTGGTTATTAGCCCTTTATCCGATGTATAGCATGCAAATATTTTCTTCCTTCTGTGGGTTGTCTGTTCACTCTATCGATTGTTTCACTGGCTATACAGAGGATTTTTAATTTAATCAAGTCCCATTTATTTATTTTTGTTGTTGCTGTGATTGTCTTTGGGGTCTTCTTATAAATTCTTTGCCTAGGCCAATATCTACAACAGTTTTTCCAACATTTTCTTCTAGAATTCTTATAGTTTTATGTCTATTATCCTCCATGAATTCATTTTTGTGAGTGGTGAGAGGTAAGGATCCTGTTTCAGTCTTATGCATGTAACTATCCAATTTTCCCAGCACTATTTATTGAATAGAGATTCTTTTCCCCAGTGTAGGTTTTTGTCTGCTTTGTCAAGGATCAGATGGCTATATGAGGATGGTTTTATATCTGGGTTGTCAGTTCTGTTCCATTGGTCTATGTCTCTGCTCTTGTGCCAATACCATGCTGTTTTGGTTACTATCGCCTTGTAGTATAACTTGAAGTCTGGTAAATTGATGCCTCGCAATTTGTTCTTTTTGCTTAAGGTTGCTTTGGTTATTAGGGGTCTTTTCTGGTTCCATACAAAGGGTAGAACTATTTTTCCTAGATCTGAGAAAAAATGATGTTGGTATTTTAGTGGGGATTGCATTGAATCTATAGATCACTTTGGGTAATATAGACATTTTAACAATATTGATTCTGCAGATCCATGATCATGACAAGTTTTTCCTACTGTTTACATCCTCTGCTATTTCCTTCCTCCGTGTTTCGTAGTTCTCCCTGTAGAGGTCTTTCACCTCCTTAGTTAGATATATTCCTAGGTATTTTATTTTCTTTGTAGCTATTGTGAAAGGTATTGAGTCTTTTATTTGATTCCCAGCTTGACTGTTGTTGACGTATATGAATGCTACTCATTTGTGTACATTGATTTTGTAACCTGAGATTTTGCTGAATTTGTTTGTCAATTCCAGGATTCTCTTGACAGAATCTCTGGGATTTTCTAGATATAAAATCATATCATCAGCAAAAGTGATAGTTTGACCTCTTCTGCCCCCATTTGGATACCGTTGATGTCCTTTTCTTGTCTGATTGTTCTGGCTAGGACTTCCAGCCCTCTGTTGAATAGAAGTGGCGATAGTGGGCCATGGTCTCCCTGTACCACTCCTTATGTCCTGGGGGCACGGGTCCTGCTGAGCTGTCCAAGCTGCCAGTGGGCGATCCCGCAAAACACCAATGCAGCGGCTCTGCTCTCAGTGGTAGGTTCCCCTGGGAAAATGACCCCACTGCACAATAATAGGCTTCTCAGCCCAGAGCCCTCTTGGCGATTGCTATGGGGTGGAGGGAGGGGCCATGGTTTCCTGGTACTGCTCTTTTGTCCTAGGGACACCAGCTCCTGTCCACCTGTCCAAGCTGCCCGTGGGAGATCCCGCAAAACACCACTGTGGCAGCTCCACTATCAGTGGCAGGCTCAGCCAGGAACATGCCCCCACCACAGAGAAAAAGGCTTCTAAGCATAGAGTGCCCTCGTGGTTGCTATCGTGGCAGAGGGGCCACAGCTACAAGCTGGCTTGATCTAAAATTACTTTCTGTGGTGCCAGGGAAGGAGGAGGTGCAGAGGAAGAGGCATCTAAATGTAGGAATGATGGCTTTCTGGTCTCACAATGGCACTCGCCAGTGTGGTGAGACTTTTGTGTACCATTGCTCATTGTAGTCACCCACATGGGGGAGGGGAGGGAAGTCCCCTCTTATCCTTTCACTGGGCTCTGGGCCTCTCTGGATTCGGTCCATACCACTTTCCTCTCCTCTCTCTTCCTCTTTCTCAGCTCTGCACCCCTTCTTGGTGGGGTCCCTGGACGCCTCTGCTATCTCTCCCTGTGATGCACACTTGAGCCACAATTGTTCTCCACCCTCCTCAGTCCAACCTTCTACCCTTCAGATGTGACAGTCCAACAAGCCATGTCTAGTCAGCCATCTTGGCTCACTCCCTGTTATTTTTTTTTTTTTAAGTTAAGAATTCAACTCAATCATTATGTAGGTCCGATAAGATACTAACATCTTAAGGGTCATCATACTGTATGTATAACTTCTATTTAAATTAAATTTAAGTGCTACAATAAATTCTACTCATGTCAGCGCCCATTTTAAGCTCACATATTCGTGAAGATAAAGGAAGCCAATCGTATTCCTATAATTTCTGCAGTTTCATTTTTATCCCTTTTTGCCCCATTCTAATTACTTAAGAATTTATATTTATTTTTCAGTTCTTACTCCCCTTGTCCATGCACACATATGTATTATTGATCTTGGGTTAAGGAGTCTATCCGTATCTTTTTTCCTACATGCAGAATGTTAGTTTGTGTTAATGACTCTTAAACTTAGATGCCGAATCACCTATGTCTTTGGGAGCCCACAATAGGTTGGTATTTTTGTTTGTTTCTTTTTGTTTTTCCTCTGTTCATTGTTGCAATGAACTTTCAAGTCACTGGAAACATCAAGGCTAGGCCTTCTTAGGCACGTCTTGACCATGTCAGTATTTCTTTAATCCAGAGTATAATTGATTTGAAGTGAAGAGTCATTTCTTATTTATCTTTGCATTCTTCGATTCTAATAGTTTTTCTTTTTTGCTCTAAGTTCCTTGGATATAGCTATATTTTTACATAAATTATTTATTTATTTTCATTAATTTGCTGAAATCCTAATCCCACATTTATAGGAAAATTTGTTTCCACAGAGTTGTGGGATTTTTCTTTAAAGAAAACATATTTAAATGAAAAATCAGAAATGTTAATTTCTGACTAAAAAAAGGATTTTCATTTTGCTCAGGGATCAAAACCAAGTGTTTGTGATTTATTAACAACTTGAAAGAGGGCCTGGGAGTGGGAACCTTGAGTGAAATTGTTAATGGGCCTTGACAATTTAAGATTAATTAGAAAAGAAAATTTTTAAAAACCCCATGTGATTTTGTAAAATTTAATTTTCATGTAATGTTCTAGGGCCACACCAAAGTGAGATTATCAGAAGTATAAGAGTCCATTGACATTCTTAATTCCAGAAAAGAACAGGGAAATAACAAAGAATAGAGAGAAGTTTATGTAGATATTTCCTTCCTCTCTTTTCCTCTCAAGGCTTCTCATTAAAGCAGAGAAGAGATTGGATGGGAGACATGAGGCTGACCCAGAGAGGCTAGGATGATAATGATGAAACCCCTATCACTTGGACTCCAACGTTAACTTTTGTCTGTTGAACAAGGCTATTGTGAAGCTTTCTTTATTGGGTCATTGACCAATTGCTGTACATTTGCAAAGCAGTGATTTTTCATTACTTCTGGGGTACACGGCAATCAGAGCCTTAGGCAAAACCCTAGAAAAGGCAAAAATTGATCTTTTTCAGCTCCCACCAAATTCTTCTTTTCTTCTGAAACATTTTGTCTTCTCTTTTCTCCTGTTTCGTCTTTCAAAATACTCAGTGCTCTGTGCTTCTTTCTAGGTAACTTACATTTTCTACTTAAAGTCCTTCCTTTATTCCTCAATAATTATTCTCTCTGTCTGCTTTAATTAAAAAATTATTTCTGAACTAGCTCCAGCCAATTAGAGATCTGTCACCTGGTTAGTTCACAATGATATAAAACCAAGACTGAAAATGCCCAATATTTTTTAAACAAGGAGTTAGCAACCTAAATCAATCTGTCATTGATGCAGTGCAAAGGGATTTATTTTATTTGCAAATACTTTTCCACTTTACATATATTGTGGACATCTTTCCATGTCAGTGCAGATAGACCTACTTCATTTTTAATAATGGCATATTACATTTTATAAGTACATGGATGTCCTCAATATTCTTGTTTGTTGTCATAATAATGATAATGATTACCATCTCCATTACCATATTAATAAATTGCATTTATTGAATACATTATATATCAGACACTGCCAGATGCTGTGTGCTTTATGTGTATTAACTCACCTGATCATTATTTCAGTTATCTTACTGGATAGAAGACATTGGTAGCCTTATATTATGCATGAGAAAACTGAGACATAGAGAAGATAAATAATTTGTCTAAAGTCACCTTTCCAATAAGTGGCAGAGACAAGATATAAACCCAGAAAGAATGCCTCCAGAACCTTTACTGGAGTTGACCCAAGCACTATTGGTGTTTCATTGTTTTCCCCTTGGGCAATTACACAAAATGCAGCAAAGAGCATCATAGTATGTCAAAATTTGGGATATATTTATAATTTTTCCTGAGCCCTTTATAAAAGACATTGTAGTTAAAAAGCAGTTACTGCCATATAGAAGGTAAATATAAAATAACACATTCTCCAGATTTGAAAAGATTTACAAGTAATTTAGTCCAGTCATGTGTCACCTGTTCTGTGGAATTCCTAGAGAACTTGTTCATTACCTGTTTATGCTAATACATGTTTCTACATTGTATTATGTTTATTTGTATACATATCTCATTTCCCACATTCTACTAATAGTTCATATTTTTATTCTGCTGTTAATTGTTTTACATACAAAAAATGCCAGTACTATTATGCTGGATTGTTTCAGTATCTTATTTTATTCTTTCTTTTCTTCCAAACAGGAGCAAAATTTATTGGAACTTTCCCCATACCAGACACCTACAATCCAGATGATGATAAAATATATTTCTTCTTTCGTGAATCATCTCAAGAAGGCAGTACTTCCGATAAGACCATCCTTTCTCGAGTTGGAAGAGTTTGTAAGGCAAGATATATTTATGTATTTCACTTAAAGCATATATGTATATACATGAAACAATTAACTATGCCATGTTGAAGAAAAAGGTAATGTCCATTATTCAAAAAATGGTAGGATACATTCACACTATCTTGCTTGTGTAATTTTTGATACCCAAAAGTAAAAAAAAAAAAAAAAATTCACATTTTTCAAACATTACAGTTTATTTTTCCAGTGCCTAAACTGTTGCTCTTGTGTGAGTTACACCTCTTTGGCATTTTATTACTTTCATTAAAGAGCTATCCCTTTGCCAGTTATTGCTATTCCCAGTAAAACTGCTGCATTGTCCTGATCCTTGGATGTTAAAATGTGTTTATACAATGTTAAATAATCTCATTTTAAAATTGAAAATAACTTAACATAATCATGAGAGTAACTTAAACACTAATAGAATTATATTCTGTATTTTTATCAACATACATCACACATGTAAAATTATATATCTTTACATGTATAAGTTGAAAGTATGGTTATCTAGATTAGGATATGAGAGAAAATGGGGTAAAGAGGAAAAAACAACCAAAAATGCAAAACATTTATTTTGAAAAACACTGCAATTAGTTTTTAATATTGCCATTTTCTGTGTTACAAGTAAACACAGAAACCGTGAGATGCTTCCATTTTGTGCCATCAAAGCTCTCATTTGATTGAATACAAGCTTTGTAGAATAATGATGCTACCAGAATCATAGTATTGACTTCAGTATATTATTTTTCTGTTTGGCTTTGTCTCCACTGAAATAACTGTTTTTAAATAGACAGACACCTTCAACATCAACTTGGTTCATAAGGGGAAGAGCTGTAAAGTTAATAAATACTCTCAGCGGGAAGATTTCTTTGGTCTTTCACAAACTTTTCATTTTCTTCCATCTGAGCCTATCACTTTTTGTTTCAATCTGTACCCTCGGGCTTCTGAACACTTCCAGGGACAGAAATATAAACGATTATTGCACTTAAAAGTGCTAATGAAAACATGGCTTTTGAATGAGGCCAACTTGTGAGCCCAGATCATTCTTTACCTAGTGTCCTAGCCAATAATGCTGTCTCCCACTGATCCCCTCACCCCCAGGGGACAGATTCTCTACAAAGCATCCTCATTCTTTCAGAGTCTAAGAATTCACAGTAATTTCTCTTGAAGCTTCTTGCCCAGAGATGAATGGCGGTTGCTTGGAATAGTTGCAGTGTGTTAGTGTACTGAAGCATGGCTTATAGCAACAGTATCTTGACCCTGAAAAACTGTGCTGCGGGTTGACATTATTTGTATAAATGAGCTACGTTGAATATGTCATAAGGGATTTACAATCAATTAAACATATTTCAAGAGTTGCTTTCTGATGAACATACAGAACAAGTGTGTGTATCGTGAGCCAGTTCAATCTATCAATTTCTTGATAGATCTAATCCATTTGATAGAAATTCATGTATGACAAAGTAATGTTTTATGCTAGTATAAATATACTGAAAGTTAATCTTAGAGGTGGAGAAGTATATGAAAGAAAAATTTAGTTATCCTATTTATAAATTTCTATGTTAA